TCATTTCCCTTTGGGGTTGCTGTAGGTGATCTGGAAGTCTGGTTTTGAGACTTATTTACATGTTTTCTCATTTTGACTGGGCCGGGGTCTGTTACCGCCTGCAAAGATTACCTCCTCTGAGCTGGGAGAGGTGGGACAGGGGTGGGGAGCAGTGGTAGGGATGGTGACCCAAAAGCCCTTTCCTGTGGGCTGGGAGCAGCCGGAGTGATGGTGACCAGGAAGCCCCTTCCTCTGGACCAGGAGCAGTGGGATGGCGGCTCAGAAGCCCCTCCCTCTGGGCAGGGACCAGCGGGACTCAGTACCTTGGTCTGGTGGTCTGGTGTCCTCTGTGTCTTTGTATTGTATAACCAGGTGGCTGCCTGTCTGCAGCAGGGTGATTCAGCGTCTTCCATGGGACCTCTGTAGGGTGTGTACAGGCCTGCCTGTCTGTAGCGGGCTGATTAGGCGTTTTCCCCGTGACTGGGGACCTCGGTAGGGCGTGGACTGACCTGACTGTCTGCAGCGGGGTGATTCGGTGTGTTCTGTGAGACTCAGCACCTCGGTAGGGCGTGGGCATCAACAATCTGTTTTCATCTGAAAAGATTTACTTACATATAGAAAATATCATTGAGGTATAACGTATAACTATTGTTTATTTACTAATTTTACAAAAAGCTTTGGGGCCAGGGTTCACCCAGGGACTCACACATACTAAGCATGTGCTCTATCGCTGAGTCACACCTCTGGTGTTTGCTTTATTTATTATTTACTCATTTTTTCTGTACTGAGGATTGAACCTAGGGCCTATGCACTGTACTACATCTCCAAACCTTTTTGTTTTTTAATTTAAAAATTTAATTTAATTAAAAAATTTGAGACAGAGTCTCACTAAGTCACCAAGTCTCACAGGCTGGGTTCAAACTCGTAATCCCCCTGCCTCAGCCTCCCAGAAGTGCTGGGATTGCAGGTGTGTGTCACCACGCCCTGGGTGGGACTATTGGAGACCCTCAGACCTCAAGTCTAAGGCTCAGTGTGTGCATCTTGACTTGCCATTCATTTGCCATCTTGGGAAACTGAACTGTCTTTTCTGGGCCTCAGGTTCCCCCACTTTGAAAGGGGCCATGCTGCTTCACAGCGATTAACAGACCAAACAGACAGCATGGAAGATCCTAACCGCTTGGCAATTCCAGTTGTACAGCTCTTAGATTTCCTTCCTTCTAAAGTGCACGGATGGTGCCTGTCTCTCTCTCTCTCTCTCTCTCTCTCTCTCTCTCTCCTGTCTGTTTTTAATCCTCAGCGCTAATAATGAGCAATACACAGCAGGCCTGCAGAAGTGTGTATGGAGGGGTGGAGGGGCTCTTGGTATTTTCAAGGTGCCTGTGCTCAAGAAAGGCTGTGGTTCCTCCTCACTGAGCTTGCTGGCCCTTGGGTGGTGGGTGCCTTCCCACCCCGGCACCACCCGGCACATACTGGCTCAGCCCAAGGACTCCAGCAGGAAGGAGCCGAACCTGCTGAGGAAAGCAAAGGGCGCTGGGACCATCATGTGTGTTTGGCCTTCTTTGCAGCCACTTCAGTGAACAGAGGCCTTCCGGTCACCGATGCCAGGTAAACCTGGCGAGCACTCATAAGGAGAGAGTCTTGCAGGACACTGGGAATAGTAAATAACCCCAAAGAGATCACAGGTGCTGTACTGTAAGTGCTTCAGTAAACTCCATAGATCTGTTCCAAGGGAGAGAATACCCTGTAATAGCAGGAATTAGGATCTGTTAAAAAGCGCACACAGGGTCTGCAGAGGTCGCTGGCTGTGGATGAACACTGCTGGGCTGTCCAGCTATGCTCTGCAGCTAGTGAGGCTGTGCAGAGCCCTCAACCTGTCAGGGAGGCCACCGAATCACAGGGAGCCTGTGTTGGCCTACAGCTCAGCGCAATGGGCCAGAGATGTGGATTCCAATTCCTTTTCTGCTACTGGAGTATAAAATGAAAAAAAGCAAGTCAATCAGCCCCCATGGGCTTCCATTTCCTAACCTCTAAAGTGGGTATTAAAATATGTTTGCTCTACTACCTTGAGTGTAGCTGCAAGGAATGGAGGGTGCATTTAAAAGTGTTTGGAAAATAACCCCAAACTCTCTTTGCAGATATTTTGCAGTGACTCGGGCTATCGCTGCTGCTGTTTGCAAGCCTGTGTGATCTCGTTCATAGCCCTCAGTTAGGATTTTGACTGTGGGCATGGTTTTCACTTTGGTCACTGTGCTTTCTCTCCCCATGACCACGCTATTTCATTGTCATAAAAATCACCTCCTTAGCTCAGAGTGAAAGTTGGAGCTTTGACTTTATTTATTTATTTATTTATTTATTTGGTACCAGGGATCCAATTCAAGATCTTGTGCTTGGAGGCAGGTTTGATGCCACATCTTCTGAAATGGAGCCAGACACATAATACGAGGGCTGCTCAAAAACTATGGTTGTTTTGAAATTAAAGAATGGATTACAGTAAAATATGCATTGGCACTGACACCCCTCAAATTGTGGCCCCTACTCTGATTACACCTATCCCATCCTTTTTTCCCCCCTCTGAAGCAGTTCTGGGAGCCCTGTTTCATGAGTGTCTTTACAAGGTCTGATAAAAGACACAGCGAATGCTGTTGCCAATTGCTATACAACAGAAAGGCAAGCTTGTGGAAACAGAATGCTGTGTCCTCATCCCCCTCATTCACCTGATCTGGCCCTGTGTGGCTTCTGGCTCTTCCCCAAAGTCAAAATGACCATGAGATGTACACATTTTGAATTGATTCATGACCTCAAGGCAGCTGTGACAGAGCAACTAGAGATACTCACGAAAGAGAGCTTCCAGAACTGCTTCAGAAATTGGCAAGAGCCAAGTGAGGTGGTGCACACCTGTCATCCTAGCACTTGGGAGGCTGAGGCAGGAGGATGGCAGAATGTTCAGGGTCAGCCTGGGCTACCCAGTGAGTGAAAGTCCAGTCTGAATGACATAGTGAGACCCTGTCTCAAGAAAAAAAGAACAAAACTGGCAAGAATGTTGGGAAAGAGTGTTGAAGCGAGGAAGAATATTTTGAGGGACATTAATGGCAATATGTATTTTACTGTAATACATTTTTAAAAATTTAAACATTCTGTGTATATTTTCATCACACTTCATATATGCTCAATCAATATTTGTTAAACAAATGAATGAATAATCTCCATATTAATTAGGTGATTTTTCCAAAGAAGTATTTTTAAGCATCCTACAAGTTTCTTTGGAAAACTGACAGCTGGTGAAGAAAACTTTTTGAGGAACTATGATCAGATAACAGCTCTCATCAGTAGGTTAAGAGCAGTAGTGGATGGCTAAATGGATGGCCAGCCCTGGGCTCAGCCTGCCGTGACACCCTGTGGCTGCCGGGACTTGAACTCAGTGCATCAGGGCACAGGACACATGGGAGCTGTTTGCAGACATACGAGCTCAGAAGGGTTACTATGTTTTCGTTTTTCCTTATAGTGGGTGGAATTTTCACAAGGGGTTAAGAAATGTGGTTGTACATTAACTGGAGAGTTTCTGATGAATGAATCATCTTCATTTATTCAGCAATTCCTGAGTGTGCCTTGTGTATCAGGCATTGGCCTACAGTTCAAGGTTCAAGGTGACTAGGAAAGATGCATTCCTTGCCCTATGGGTCTCATTTTCACTTGGCAGATGACAGACACGTGAACAGGCAGGCACAGCCTTTGTGACAAGAGCCCTGGGAATTCCCAGCAGCATCACCCTGGCAGTCCGGTTCTGTTACTGTCATGGGATACCTGAGGCAGGCTAACTCTGCAGAAAAGAGGCCCCATTTTTCATTTGCTAGTGGACCCTAAATATTTGATAGGGATGGGGCTATTCAGTGGTGGAATGCTTGCCTTGAGTGCTCAAGGCCCTAGGTTCAATCCCACACATTGCACAGAATGAATAAACAAATAAATTAAGTAGCCTTGTCTGGACACACGATGAAGCTGGTGCCCATAAAGTCCCACGAAGGAATTCCACTGTTGAGCAGCTAGCAGAAGGGAGCAGGTCTGAGAGAATGGCAGCTCTGCTGGCTGTCTTGCTGTCTCATTCAAGGTGGGCCACCGTTCCCCCGAGGGAGGGAGAAATAGGTGTGAAAGAAGTGTGCGCTGCTGGGAGTGCCGAGCAGTGCACCTCAGGGGCTGTAGGTGGCTTTGCTGATTGCCCAGCAAGTGCAGCTTCCGGTCCTGTCCTTTCCACTGCCTGTACATGCCCAGCTTTGTTTAGAACTCACTGAGGCCCCCCAGCAGCAAATTCTCTTCCTACTGCACTGACTTGTGTTTTGTTTATAGATCACCCTGTTCTCTGAAGCCCTGACTTCTATTGTCTTTTCCATGCTGAGCATTATTCTTGTATATTCAGTTGTCATGCTGTGCATTTATTTTTTCATCAGATATACTTAATGCTAGTTGGGGATGGTAGCGCATGCCTGTGATCCCAGCACTAGGGCGGCTGAGGCAGGAGGATCACCATGATTTTGAGGCGAGCCTGGCTACATAGTGAGTTCAAGCCCAGCCTGAACTACACAGTAAGACTTTGTCTCAAAACACACACACACACACACACACACACACACATATAACACATATACATTTACTGCTACAATTGCTGAGAGTAAATTATATACTATATATCCTATAATCCTGTTGTTAGATTTAGATAGTATAGAATATTTTGAAGCAAAAACTAAAGGTTCTTTCTTCATACTACCTCTTGCAGTGTTCTATGCCTTCTGCAGTCACCTTGGCCGTAGCCTTCAATGACAAGTGTCCCTCTTACTGCTGTGGACCCCTCCTGCTCGGGACTTGCTGACTGCCCATCAGCCTGAGAAGTTCACAGTGCCTTTGCCGAGTGTCCGGAGCCCCCAGGAAAGGTGAGTCAAAGCAGAAAGGGAGCAGACTTGGGAGTCACCAAAACCTCGGTCTGGACTTAGGCTTTGCTACAGTGCGCTGCAAATATTTGGGCGATTATGTAATTTCTTTGCTCCTGAGTTTCCTCATCTACAAAAGAAAGACAATAAGGGCCGTCTTGCATGGCAATTGAGAAGAATGATTACAGTAATACACTTAGGGACATCCAGCACACACTCACAGTTCAGTGACAGCAGCCATAACGCAGTGTTCAGCACTTTCTCCTGAAAAGACCTGCAACCCAAGGCAGACAAGGATATTCTCTTGTATAAAATAGTAACAAGCATTCTCTCTCTCTTTCACTCTCTCTCCCTCTCCCTTGCCCTCTCTCTCTCTCTCTCTTTCTACTGAAGATTGAACACAGGCCCTTAGCACTGAGCTACATGTCTAGCTCTTTTTCTATTTTTTCATTTTGAGACAGGGTCTCACTAAGTTATTAGATTGCCCAGGCTGATTGCCCATGGCTGCATCCTCCTTCCTCAGCCTCCCAGAGGGCTAGAATTATAGGCATGCACCACCAAGCCTGGGTTCTATTATGCATCTAAATATAATAGATAAATATATACTACATGTAATAGCATATAATGTAATTTCCAAGGCTTATCTTGGAGGGAGAGGGGTAAGGAGGGGAGAGCAGAGGAAAGCAGAAAGACAGGATGTGTTGTGTACATGTACCAACTCCCCTTGATGAATGTAATCATTCCGTACTATGAACATGTGCTAATACAAATATAAATATGAAAGAAAATAAAGCAGAAGGATTGCTCCTTCAAATTTGTAATAGGGGATTTCAGATCTCTAAAAACTGAGATAATATTGCAATAAACATGGATACACCTTTTCTCTAGGTTCATCAACTATTATTAATCAATTGTTAATCATCACTAATAGCATTATACACACACTTTTTTGTTGCTGTTGAACTATCTTAAAGCAACTCAAAGACATCATTAGTCTTCATCTTTACACATTTTGGCACACAAGTCTCAGTGGTAAGAACATTTTTCTGGAGTGGTGCACTCCTATAGTCCCAGCACTCTGAGTCAGGAAGATCACAAGTTCAAGTCCAACTTGGGTAACGTAGCAGACTCCAATAAAAAACTTAAAAAGGGCTGGCGATATAGCTCAGTACCAAAGCCCTGGACAGTCACACACACACACACACACACACACACACACACACACACACGGACACACACAAACACACACACAGAAAAGAACACTTTCCTGTGTAACCCCCTGCATTGCACCTATGAGTGTAATAATGAGATCACCCGTAGGTGGGTGAAAGCCTCCATTATCCTTGTGCACCTCATATTTCAGCCCAAGCTGTCATGAAGAATCCCTATGGGTTCGGAGTCAGAGGCCGCCTGAGATGACAGCTTGGTGGGAAGCAGGACTTAAGGGCCGGTGGTGCTGGGGAGGAGCAGGCAGCCTTGCTGACCGCTGACCGCATTCTCTGGTCAGGCTGCATTCCCTGAGTCATCTTTCTTGCCCCCTGGTGTCTCTTTGCTTCCTCACCAGTTAGGTTCCTGACTCTGAAGTCGCTTTCCTTCCACCTGGGGGAACTGTGTGCCCGCCTTGGGTTTCACCTTCCCTGAAGACATCAGCTCACACCTTGGACTGCTATTGTACCTCTTGTGCAGCATTTATCGAACATGCTCTTACATTGTTGTTCTCAAATTGTCCTATATGGTGTTTATGAAACTAGACTTAGGTTCTGCATGTGTGGTGGTGCACACCTGCAATCCCAGTTATTGGGAAGGCTGAGGCAGGAGGATCGCAAGTTCTAGGCCAGCTTGGGCCACTTAGTGAGACTCCATCTCAAAAATTTTAACAAGGGTTGCCTCAGTGGTAGAGTGTTTGCCCAGTATGTGTGAGGCTCTGAGTTCAGTCCCCATTACTGGAAAAAAAAGACTTCAGCTCCATCTGGGTAAAGACAACACCTTCCAAACATAATAAGTGCTTAAGAAATATTTATTAATTGTATAAATTAAAATATTATTATATAATTAATATAACATTATTAGTTTGTTATTTATAGCTAATAAGACTCTGAGTAATAAATCCTGCACTGTCAATGAAAAAATGAGTTTGCACAACTCACACATGGTCAGCTGCACTCCCAGTTGCTTTGTCTTATGGGCTTGTCTTTATCAGTGACACAAACCCATCACTTGAGTCTACACCAGAATAGTGCTTTCAATTAGGTGGATGTGAAAATCCCGCCAGATGCCAGGTCTGCGACGTTATTCAGACAGCTTTGAGGTTGCAGTAATTCAGATGTTTCAGTAACTGAAATAACTGGATTGTCACATGATCTGCTCTATCGTTTCAACTATTATTATTTGACACATGGAAACACTACGCTTCCCCATGGCTTTACTTCTGGAACCGAAATATTGAATGCACGAATCTATATTCTTATTGATTCACTCATCCTATATTTACATTGGGCCTAAAATCAGACATGATTAAGTTCCCTAAACTTGTACATTTTACCATGATGTGGATGTTTAGTTAGCCACTACACATTTTTTAAAAGCTTTCAGTAAGACTTATTTCCATTTTCTTAAAAACTGGGATCATGGTAGACGATTTGTATTTTTCTAAAATGCCAGGAAAACTTTGAGTCTCCCCAAGTAGCACAGTTTTAGTCATAAAATGACTCCATTTAGGCTGCATAATTTAGGTTTAAATAACAGCAGGAGGTTTTCTTTAACTCTGTCTAATTATGAGTATGCTCTTGAAGGCAGTTTGTTATTTACTTCTGAGTTTTGATGCTTTTTTTTTTTGACGGGCATGTTTCTCTCCCTCTCCCTCTCTTTTTTTTTTTTGATTCTTGAGACAAGGTAGCCTAGGCTGACCTTGAACTCAGTCCTCCTGCCTCAGCCTCCTGAGTGCTGGGAGCACAGTTGTGCGCCACCGCACAGGCTCTGAGAGACTTGTTTCCAGAAAGCAGGAACCAATCAGCATTTCCCAGGGCTTGAGTGTGCTCCCCTCTTTGGGTTTTGGCCCTCCACACGCCAGTGCTGCAGCGGGCGGTGGGGTCACCCGGTGGCCTGCTGTTCCCTTCCTTTCTGTGTGGAGGTCTTCCGCAGCCTGCACACACAAACCTGGTGTTTACTCATCTCACCTTTATTTTGAATGTTTTCTGGTAGTGGGGAACGAACCCAGGAGTGTTGTATCACTGAGCTACACCTCTAGCCATTTTTATCTATTTATGTATTTTTAATTTTGAGACAATCTCACTAAGTTGCCCACGTAGCACTTGAACTTTTGATCCTCCTGCCTCACCCTCCCAGAGTGCTGGGATTACAGGCACGTGCCACAGCATCCACATAAACCTGATGTTTAAAAATTCGAATTTTGTTTGGGTTTTTTTTCTGTACACCTACCTAAGTTTGGATTCCATTGAATTTAACAGAAACAAAACAAAGCAAATTTATGCCCATCAATAGTTAATTTTACTTAAGTGATCTTCATAAATAATCAGTTTGGCTAATGTTACCATGATCCCACCAGTTTTGAGATACATTTCTTTAGAACCTTGTTATAATAAGCTCAGAAGGTAAGCTGTAGTGATGCAATCTAATACTTTCCCCACAGCTTCCTGTAGTGTTTAGCCACTTAGAGGGACTTACGCTTCAGCAGACACCATGGTCAGCCAGGTAAATGCCAAGCTCGTTTCTTCCTGAGGCCTTGTCCCGAGTACCTTCGTTCTCAGGCCGAGGTGAGTGACGGGTGACAAGGATCCATTCACGTACTCTCTGGGGCATTGCCTTCAGGGTGCAAACTTCCTCTAACACTCAAATACACAAGGGGTGGTGAGCAGTTTAAATTATGTGAGCAGTTTAGCTTTTAAAAATTCCTTGAAATGCTTTGTCACTGAACTTAGATTGAAATAGTTCATTGATAGAAAATTAGAATAAATCAAATTTAAATTCAAAATAATCAAAATTTAGTGAGCAAATGTACTTACCAAGTAGCTGGGATTAAAGGCGTTTGCCACCATGCCCCAGTCTACATATATTTCAGTACAAGGGAACACAGCAGAGGAAAGGTAAAGTATTATTTTCTTGGTAGGTTTCTCAAAAAGTGTTTATTTTTCCTTTCCTCTCCTCTGCTTTCTTTTTGAGACAGAGCCCCGCCTTGTAGTTTAGGCTGGGTTCAAACTTCCAGTGAGTCTCCTGCCAGTGCCTCCATGCCCAGCTTCCCCTGCTCTCTTTTACCCTTTCGAGCTGTTTCCAAGTTACTTTCAGTAAAAAAAGTCCATCTCTTGGAACAGAATGGAGGCATGAGCAGTCTTGCCATACCAAACCAAATTCATCATCTTCCTTTGTTCTCTCTCTTTGTTCACCTGTCTCAAAATGGTCTCTTTCTTAAACTAGAGTCTGAAGAGTGCTTTTTGTTGTTTTTAATCAAAAACATTTCCCATAGCATTTTTCCTTGTATGGTCTTCTTAAATTCTTTGACTTTAATTTCAGAAAAAGAAAAAAGTAAGCAAGCCAAAATCCCTCAGTACTACCAAATTCCAATTCCAGTCTTCAGAACACAGTTTTACTTTCTAAATTGTTTCTGGACTGCTCTTCCTTCCATACATTTCCAGTCTTATGTCAGCACTTTTGAGTTTTTCCCACTTGGCCTCCCTTCCCCTAGAAAACAGTCTGCCCATATTCACCCTCACCATCACGATTTTCTGCTTCGTGGTGGTCACTTCTTACGGAGACCTATGCACCAGTTGTGTATTAGGCTCTTCCACCTGGCAGGTGCTATTCTGACGACAGCCTATGAGGCTTTACAGGTGTGGAAACTGAAGCTAAGATAGTACAGTATGGTAGACAAAATGACAACCCCAGCCCCTGAAGATATTCATGTTCTAATCTGTAAAGCTTGTGCATACATAGATTATGTTATGTGGCAAAAAAAAAAAAAGGCCTTGCAGATGTAAATGAGGGTCAACATTTGAGGTAGGGACTCTATTATGGGTCAGCTGAGTGGGCCTACGCTAGTCACAGAGATCCTTAAATGCAGAGCACCTCTCCTGGGCAAATTAGAGAGAAATGTGACAACAGAGAGAGGCTATTGGTTTGGAAGCTTGAGGAAGGAGCCACTAGCAAAGACACAGGCAACTTCTAGAAGCTGCCAAAGGCAAGGAAACAAGTTTTTCTTTAGAGCTTCCAGGATAAACACAGCCTTGACTACACCTTGGTTTTAGCCGAGGGAGGCCCATGTCAGACTTCTGAGCTCCATAAATGAAGGACAACAGGTTGGTATTGTTTAGTTAAGCCATTGAGCTTGTAGAGCTCACCACAGCAGCTATAGGAAGCTAAACAGAGTGACTTGTTTGTAGCCATAAAAAGCTCTAAGAAATGGAATCAAAGTGGAGCTTGGTGGTGCAGGGCTATGATCTTAGCACTTAGGAAGCTGAAGCAGGAAGACATGAGTTCAAGGCCAGCCTGGGCTACATAGGGATGTCATGTCTCAAAAATCCAAACCAAACTAAAACAACACAACTGGACTCAAAATGTTACTGCTCTATTTGGCTATCTTCCAGGCCCTACTGCTGTCTTATTGGTATCCAGAAGATGGGAGCGAGGTCTCCTCAGCACATCATGAACCTAAGCCTGTTCTCTGCCTTGATTCTTCCTCTGCATCTCTGGACTGTCAATTCGTCCCTGCTCTTGACTAACCTGCACAGGGCATGCACTTCTCAACAAAAGCCAAGCTATGAATGGCAGCAGAAAGACGTCCATACTCTGTGTGCATGTCCTCTACTGCTCCACTAACAATGACGCTGAAAAACAAAAGATAGAAATTTAAAAAAGGTAAGTGGAGCCTGTATTGCCCATGTGGTATTTGCTGACAATAAAAATGCCTTTGGTTCTACATAGAAGAAAAGGCGTGTTCCATTCTATGGTGGCACACTTGAATTGAAATTACAAGTTAATTTAGTACTCAGGCTGCAGCTAGATTTATACCCACTTGCCATCTCACCGCTGTCCTTATGGCACTGTCTCTCTATTGCTCTATTTACAGAGGAAAAATGAAGACGGTGATTTGTAAATATTGACCTAACAGAGGACATTTTGGAAAGGATTGAAGGAACTCCCTGTACTTTCATACCCTCAAAGTGGCGGGAGCACACAAGTCATCTCAGTAGCCCGCATCTTGAGAGACTGGACTGCTCAGAGCTAACATTCAAGACAGAAAACAGCGATAAGTAGTAGAACAACAAAAATGATCAGATGACTGAAGCTATTCTTAAAATAATATGAAAGATCTTGTTTTGTACAGATATTCATGGGATAAGGTCTCTTCCTTTGCACTGTGGGAATCCCTGAACACTGCGTCTGAAAGCTGAATAAGAAACAGAGAGGTAAAGGATGAACAGGTATGTAAAGAGCTAATCACTTTTCTTCTCTAACAAAGAGATTGCTAAATACTGGAGCACAATGCTTAAGGAAATCATGAATGACAAATTTAATAGTTCTTTTGTTTTATTATTATAATTAATATTTGCAGTGCTGGGGCTCCAATGTTGGTCCTACAGCATGCTAGGGAAATGCTCTGCTGCTGAGTTACATTCCCAGCTTGTAAGAGTCCTTTTAGAATAGAACATATCCTTTATCTGTTAGTGACTGTTAAAGTAAAGCCGATTTTGGATCTGAGAGAATGGCTTAGTTGATTCCAATAATTTATTTTTGTAGAATTATTTGCTATTTTTGGTGGGTACCACTATCTTCTTTGTCTGTGAAGTTGAGAACTGAGATGGATTTTTCAGATTTGAAAGCATCTTCCAATCAATATGTAGCTTTAATGATGGCAAAATATTTTTTAAGTCAACTATTTTTTAATCACCAACTATTGGTGATGCAAGCCTGTAATCCCAGCACTCCAGGTGGCAGAGGCAGGAGAATCAAAAGTTCCAACCCAGACTGGGCAACTTAGAGACCTAGTGAGATCCTGTTTCAAAAACAAAAAGTAAAAAAGGGATGGGGATGTAGCTCAGTGTGAAGACCCTAGGTTCAATCTCCCATACTGCAAAAATGAACACACAAACAAATAAATAAAACTATCCTTTTCAAAAAATAATTTCTCTCCCAATAATTCATTACAGAAGGTGCCTCGGGTGGGCTCCTGACCTCTGCCTGCTCACTTTTCTATTTACAAGACAGACGCAGACACAGATGCCACGCGGGAGTCTGAGAATGGCCTCCCTCTCGGGAGTGGAGTCACAGCAGCCCTAAGGATCCCCTCCTTTGGGTTTTGTCTCCTTCCGTGAACTCTGAGGCAGAGGCTGAGACTCCTGAGCCTGGGGATCCCTGAGTCCTTCGAAACCTAACACTTTCCCGTGAATGTGCAGAGCGCACAGACCGGCGCAACAGTAAATATCTCGTGTGGTACACATGCTTCACTCCTGTTTACCTTGAATAAGTGCCCGCTACCAGTACACATTTTAACTTGGAAATAATTGTTTATATTTTTAAATTAAATGACATCTTTTTTTTAACACAAGATTGATATTTGTGTGTATTTTCTTCCAGTCTATAATAAGCTTTAATAAATACAGTGCAGTGAATACTCAGAGGTAAATGTGTTCTATTTCCAGGCACTTGAATGGCAGCAACTTCCGTGTTTAAAACAAAAGGGGTTGATCTTTTTTCCAGAACACTCCATGGTGCCTGAGCTGCCACTGCTTTGCCTTTTGCTCCCTCAGTTGGTGGATGGGTTCGATGAAGCATCTGGACAGGCTAGGGCTGACCAATAAACCCTACTCCCACTGCCTGCCCACCTGCAAAGGAGGAAGGGCCTGCGCAAATACCTGCAGCACTTACAGCCTGTATAACTTTCTTTCTTCTGTTTGCCACATTCTGCATACTCTGTGATGGGCCCCTGGCCCTGTCGCAGCCCCAGTTGGCTGTTCAGATTGAGATTTTGCTCCCTGGTACCCAGGTAGGTCTTGTCTCAGGAGTTGCCATCCCAAAGGGATTCTGCTAAGTGTGGCCCTGTGATCCGAGGTATGTGACACCGTCTGCATTAGGTCTTTTGCTGGTGCATTTGGGAAAGACATTCTTTCTGCCAGCAGCTATCCCAGCAGGACATAAGGCCAGAACTGTTGAGGATAAAATCCCGAATCACACAGAGCTGAGGACAGAGGCATGTTCCTGAGGAAACTCAGGGAATACGGGTCCAGCCATGACGTTCCCCTGGACTTCTGAGTTAGGTGAACCCGAAATTGTCTTTTTGCCCTTCAATTTCTTTGAGTTTCTCCTGAGTCAAGCTCTATTCATGATTAAAAGGGCAACACATCACAGAGATGTTCTGGTTGGATCACAAAGATCCCAAATGAAATCTGGACTCAAAATGATTTCCTCGTTCACTTCAGGAAATGCACTCTTGTCAGTGTCCAGTCATTTCCGTACCCATGACAGACACTGCTGATCAGTCAGTACAGACAGCGCAGAGTCCTACAAGGGGCTGGAGTGACATGGAAGGTGGCAGCACATCGGTACAGTGTTTTCTTAGAAGAAAAGAAGCTGCCCTGGGTGACAGGTGCTTCAAGGAAGAGCAAGCAAACCACGTGGGGGCCGTGGGGCTATGCTCCAACCTCAGGGAACATGGAGAGTGAGGCCTCTTCTGTCCCACGTCCTGCTCTGTTCTGTGCTTTCTCACTTCCCAAGTTTTAAATCAGGTAAATTCTTTGCCGTTACATCTCAACAGATGTTTACAATGTCTGCATAGAAATGTATTTATTTGGCAGGAAACATAAAAGATGTATTACGTCTGTCTTTATTTCCTTTCCTTTTTTTCAGTGCTAGAGATTGTACCCCAAGTCTCTGCCCTTCTAGGCAAACACTCTCCCAGTGCACTGCATCCTCAGTCCCTTTTATTTATTTTTAAAATTTTGAGACAGAATATCACTAACTTGCCTCAACTTACAACCCTCCTGCCTCAGCCTCTCTACTACCTTGGATTGCACATACACATTATAACACCTGGCTTACTGCATTGTTTTTTGGGGGCTGGTGGTGGTGAGAAAGCCTTGAGAAAATAGAACCATTGGTTTTTTACCTTTTTTTGTGGTGCTAGAGAGTGAACCCAGGCCTTTTGCACTGAGATACATTTCTAGCCATTTTAAATTTATTTTGAGACAGGATCTTGCTAAATCACTAAACTGCCCAGGCTGGGCTTGAATCTGAACTCCTGACTTAGCCTCCCAGGAGCCTGGCATTACAAGCATGGACCACCATGCCCAGCAAACTTTGTACACTTTTCCTGGCACCTTCCCATGTCCCTTACCTCCCAGACCATGGCCACCACCATTCTACTCTCTGCTTCTGAGTTTGAACTAAAGTGCCACTAGGTGAGATCATACAGTATTTGCCCTCTGTCCCTGGCTTATTTGTCTTAGTAGAATGTCTTCCAGCTTCATCCATTGTTAATCATAACAATCTAGACCTAAAATTCCACCCTGACTCTCATGTATTCAGAAATGAGGCTTTTGAAAGATGATTGGATCATGAGGCCCTGTACTCATCAGTGGATTGATCCATTGAAGAGTTCTTAGCTGACTGTGCTGTTAGCAGGTGGGCCAGTTGGAGAAAGTGAGTCACTAAGCACATGCCTTTGGAAGGTAGAGCCCTCACTCTAGTCCCTTCTTCTCTATGCTTTCTGGATACCATGAGTTGAGCAGCTTTCCTCTGCCAGGTCCATCTGTCATGATGTTCTGTATTGGAGCCAGTTAACCATGGACTGACCCTCTGAAACTGTGAACCAAAATAAAGCTCTCCTCCTTAGATTGTGGGTGTCAGATATTTTGTCACAGGGATGAGAAACCTGACAAATATATCCATATTGTCACAAAGGACAGGATTTCTTTCTTTTTAAAGGTTGAACACCATTTAATTTTATTTACTATATTTTGTATATACAGTATGTCATTAGCATGCTTATATACTGTCTTTTGAAATGGTCATATATTTTTGTTCTTTTTTCTGTTACTGTGATATACCACACTTACTGATTTATGTATGTTGAAACATCCTTGCATCCCAGTGATAAATCTCACTTGATTATTGTATATAACCCTTACAGTGTGCTGGTGGCTGGATAGCTAAATTTGTTGAGGAATTTTTCATCCCTGTTTATCTGTAATATTAGTCTGTCATTTACTTTTCTGTTTTCTTTCTTTCCTTCCTTCTTTCTTTCTTTCTTTCTTTCTTTCTTTCTTTCTTTCTTTCTTTCTTTCTTTCTTTCTTTCTTTTT